CGGGTTTTGCATTCTCCGCACCCGCCCCGTTAACAAACCCGTTCAATCATCACCCGCCCCGCCCCGCAACGGGTACAAATTTTCTCAACCCGTACCCGCCCCATAGAAAACCCGCGGGTACCCGCCCCGCCAAAAAACCCGTAAAAGTGAAGAAAAAAGTAAAAAAAAAAAATTAAAAAAGAAATAAAAAATTTATATAACCGTAATAAAAACAATAATTCTAAATCAAAATATCAAATGTATTATAAATAATATATATATATATATATGTATATATGTATATATATATATATATGTATATATATATATATATATATATATATATGTATATATATATATATATATATATATATATATATATATGCGGGGCGGGTACGGGGCGGGTCTGCGGGGTGGGTATATACAAACCTGCACCCGCCCCGAACCCGTTTTCCGGTGAAAAATTAGAACCCGTACCCGCCCCATTTATTTGCGTGGCGGGTATTACCCGGAAATTTCGGGGCGGGGCGGGGCGGGTACCCGCGGGTCGGGTAAAAATTGCCATCCCTAACCATTTTTTGTAAAAATCGAAAATCAGATTTATTATGAACTATGAAGAGAAAACAAATTACAAAATAGCTAACCTTTTATGAAGCCACAAACATTTGGTAGAAACGGGGAGAAATAAAACTGGGGTGGAGAAGTTGAGAGTTGGGATATAAATAAGAAGATAAAACACAAACGTGTTGAAGTGGAAGAGAGAAGTTGAAAGTGTTGAGAGTCTTAAGGAAAGTCTTTGGGAAACGTCCATCTGTGGGAATATGATAATTAGTATTTTATCATAAAAAAATAATATTTAGTACTGATATGCTGAAAATTAGGAGATAAAATAATATTTAGGAGATTTAATTAGTTGTGCATTAGAGATATTTACGGCAGAAAATAGGATTGATAGGGCTGGTTCGGGGATAAAAAATTGAGAAAAATTGAAAATAATATTTAGGAGATAAAAAATTGATGAAAATCGAAAATAATATTTAAAATAATATTTAGGAGATAAAAATTTGATAAACAATCGAAAAATAATATTTAGGAGATAAAAATCTGAAGAAAATCGAAAATAATATTTAAAATAATATTTAGGAGATCAAAATTCGATAAAAATCAAAAATAATATTTAAAATAATGTTAATGAGATAAAGTTGACAAAATAGGAAAATAATATTTAGGAGATATAAATATGATAAAAAAAATCAAAAATATTATTTAAAATAATATTTAGGAGATCAAAATTTGATAAAAATCGAAAATAATATTTCAAAAAATGTTCAGGGAGATAAAAATTTGATACAAATCGAAAATAATATTTAGGAAACAACAATCTGATCAACATCCAAAATAATATTTAGGAGACAGACATCTGATAAAAATCGAAAATAATATTTAGGAGACAACAATATGATAAAAATTGAAAATAATATTTAGGAGTGAAAAATATGATAAAAATCTGATAAAACTCGATAACAATCTTTAAAATAATATTTAGGAGATATAAATTTATAAAATTCGAAAATAATATTTAGGAGATAAAAAATTGATAAAAATTGAAAATAATATTTAGGTGATAAAAATATGATAAAAATCGAAAATAATATTTAAAATTATATTGAGGAGATGTAAATTTGGAATATAATATTTAGGAGATAAAAATCTGATAAAACTCGAAAATAATATTTAAAATAATATTTAGGAGATATAAATTATATAAAATTCGAAAATAATATTTAAAATAATATTTTGGACATAAAATTTGATAAAAATCGAAAATAATATTTAGGAGATAAAATCTGCTAAAAATCGAAAATAATATTTAAAATTATATTGAGGAGATATAAATTTGGTAAAATTCGAAAATAATATTTAAAATAATATTCAGGAGATAAATAATTGATAAAAATTTAAAATAATATTTAGGAGATAAAAATCTGATAAAAATCTAAAATAATATTTAAAATAATATTTAGGAGATATAATACTGATAAAATTCGAAAATAATATTTAAAATAATATTTAGGAGTTAAAAATTTGATAAAAATAAAAAAATTACAAATATGACGTTAGGGTTTTTTAGGGTTGCCCTAGCGTTTCTTTCTTTTATATATAAGATATATATATATATATATATTTGGGATAATTAGTGAAAACCCCCAAATTCATTTACTTATATTAAGGTGGATATAACCTCCTTTTCATTATTAGTGAAAACCCCCCACCTTATATTAAATAATATTTTTTTAATTAATATTATTTTAGACATTACTAATATACCTAATTTGCCCTATTATATCTAAAATAATTAAACCTATTTCACGTTCTCTATTTCTCTTATTCTTCTCTCTCTTTTCTCTCTACATATCGGCCGCCTCCAACTCTCCTCCATCTGTGTTCTGCCACCGCCTCCAACCCTCTTCAATCTCTGCGCCGCCATCGTTATTCTCTTCTCCCAACGGCGTTCCTCCCTCCACCGACGCGAAAAGAAGATGGTCTTCACCCCTGGGATTCTCTCGTCAAGGACGGCGTTAGGGTATTCGCTAGGGAGAAAGACGAGATTATGCAGCGGCGCTAGGGTTGATATTGCGTCTGAGATTTCAATACAGACCACCGCCCCATTGTTTCATTGTTGTTGTTCTTCTTCTTCTCTGATTTTTTTTTTTGGAATCCAATTCTCGAATCTTAATTTTCTTAATTGGAGTTTTTGGTTGAATTCTTATATAGAAGGCTAATTTTGTGTTCAATCAATAGTATAATGTAGGTTTTGTTTTTGTTGAAATTGTGTGGTGTTATTTACAGATTTATAGATATTTTCGTACAGCAATATAGTTGTTTTCGTACAGCAATATAGTTGTTTTCGTACAACAATATAGTTGTTTTCGCACAACAATATAGTTGTTTTCGTACAACAATATAGTTGTTTTCGTCAGCAATATAGTTGTTTTTATTACTTTTTAGTTGAATGTAATAGTTGATTTTGATAAATGAGAGTTGTTGGAGATATATAGTTGTTTTAATCATATTGTTTTAATAACAGTTGTTTTAATAATAGTTGTTTTATTGAAATATAGTTGTTTTAAGTGAAGACAAAAAAATATAGTAAAAAAATATTGTTTAAAAATATAATAAAAAAGTTAAAAACATATTTTTTTAAATATTTTTTTTAAATAAGAAATAAATAAAAAAATTAAAATTAAAATTAAAATACAAAATAATAAAAAAAAATAAAAGTGTATCAAAGTAGTTTATAATAGGTAGTGAATAGAGGAAGGGTAAATTTGAGAATAAAAAAAGGATGGGTCTCCCACTAATAAAGAAAAAGGAGCTGGATCCATCCTTATTAAAATAAAGGTGGAGGGGGTTCTCACTAATAGTCCCTATAAATTTAGCATTGTCGGTCCGATTAAAAAATATTATTTAAGCGACATAATAATTACTTGAGGACTCTAATGTATATATTCCAAAAAAAAAAAAAAAAAGAAGAAAGAACAACACTTCAAATAAGAGGACTTCAGTATTAATATAACAAAGAACAAGATACAATTTCACTTGAAATCATTAAAGTATAGAAATAAAAACAACACCAACAATTTATAGAGATACAAATAACAAGGAGCAAAACTGAAATACAGTTTTGCCCTCACTTATGATGCTTGAACAAAATTATATATAATTATATATGTGGAATAACACATATAGTATTTTATTAATAATTATAGAAGATTAAAAATATTGGATAGGCTTATTGGAGACGCTTGCAAAGAGTGAGTCCATCTCCGATAGAGAGATGGGCTAACTCGATACGAGAATCGCTGGCTAAAAACGAGTTCAATTTGATGATGTGTCCTCTGCAACCCCTCAAGTAGTCTTGCATCTCGTCCTCGTCCGATGCCGCCACCGTACCGGACCAAAGGGTGTTGTCGTAGGCTATAATTCCTCCGACCTTAACTAATTTCAAGAGTTGCTCGTGGTAGTTTATGTAGTTCTCCTTGTCAGCATCCACGAACGCAAAATCGAATGTCCCTTCTTCCCCCTAAATACATCAATTTCATCGTAATAGTATTAAAAAAAAAACCCGATTTTAAATTATTTTTTTTGTTTCAAAAAGTGCGCTTACTATATATATAATTTTGTTTTTTTAATTTTAAATTAAATACTTTTTTTGGCATCACCGGCCAACCAGAAATGATGTGGAAATTTAATGATGAGTCATAATCATGATTTAAAGCTATACAACTTATGATTAATCAATATGATAATGATTAATTAATCTTTGATTAAGTGCATTTATTTACCTAATACAAATATACAATTAAATAATATTATCTTGATTATTTAATTTAATTTAATTTAATACCTTGGCTTGGAGATCATTCATTACTTTGGTAGCATGATTGGATGAATTGAATTTTGTGAGTCATGTTTGTCTTCTGAATGAATGGCAATCCAGTCTCATATGCTTCTCTAGCTGGATCAATAGCTATTATATGAAAATATAAATAATTTAATGAACTAATTTTAATCATAATTTTAATTTTAATCCGCCATCACCGGAGACCGTCGGCCAGCCGCCGTTGACTCTTTCTTTTTTTTTTTGAATTTTTTTTTTCTGATTTTTTTTTCAGTAGGTCAACTGTCGTTGATCGATGGGTCTCCAGCGTTAATTTTTTTTTTTTTAATTTTAATTTTTCTTAAAAAGATAGTTTGCTTAATATTACTGTCTTGGTTGCTAAATTACTGTCTCCAGCAGTTATTTAACTGTCGGAGACAGTAATTTAACTGGTAATTGACTTTTTTTTCTAAATATTTTAATTAATATTACTGTCTTGGCTGCTATATTATTGTCTCCTGCAGTTATTTAACTGTCAGAGACATTAATTTAACTGTTAATTGACTTTTATTTTTCTTAAAAAAAAAACATTTTAATTAATATTACTGTCTTGGCTGCTAACTTACTGTCTCTAGCAATTATTTAACTGTTGGAGACAATAATTTAACTGTTCATTAACCTTTTTTTTATTTTTTTATTTTGGTTTTTCGTAAAAAAAAAATATTTTAATTAATATTACTGTTTTTACTACTAAATTATTTAATCTATTGAAAAAGCTCGGTGGTGTAGTTGGTAACACGTGAGCCTAACACATCGAAGGTCTTCGGTTTGAGCCTGGGCGAAGCCATTATTGTACAGTAAATTTTAGTCATTTAATTAGTACCTTTATTTTTAATTTTTGTGAAATTCTTTTTCGATTTGTGTCATTATCTTTTTAGGCTTAAAATAAAATCTAAAATAAATAATCTTAACTTTGTCTACCGAAAAGGTTTCGTGGTGTAGTTGGTTATCACGTCAGTCTAACACACTGAAGGTCTCCAGTTCGAGCCCGGGCGAAGCCAATTTTCTATGTTTGTGTCTAAATAGTTTTGTACATGGGTCTAATCGGGGGAAAAAAAGAATCTATCAAATAACAATACTTCTATTAAAAAATAATTGAACTAGTATTTTACCCCGTGCGTTGCACGGCGAATATATAAAACAGGGAAAAAAATAAATTATTAGTGAAAGACATGATAATAAAAATATAATTACAATATAATAAAATTTATTCGTGAATAATAAATTACAATAAAACTGTAACATGATGATACATCCCAAAGTTATAAAAATTTAAAAGAGCCTTAAAACACACAAACTTGAACTATATACCTTGATAACAAATTTCACCTATCGAGATGAAAGACGCATAAAATTCGACGGAGCATCACCAAAAATATTGAATTTAACTTGAAAATTGATTTACTTTCTAAATATCAAACATCCGCATATTTAGTCGACAATTGGCATCTTTTCCATGCGTCAATCAAAATGACAAACTTACTTCTCGTGGTTAACTGAAATTATTGTTGATTTCGTGCGTAATATATCTGCTACCTACCATAATAATATGTAAAATATATCTACTCAAATAAACCGCCCAGGAATTTGTCACACCATCTGTAAAAGAAGAAAACTCACATTATGCATATGAAGATTTACGGAAAAAATAACAAAGAAACAAAAAACAAAAACAAAAACAAAACCTAAATAAAAAATACCATAATACTCCAGTCAGTAGACCTTTTTACCTCTACTAAGCACCTTCATATGTGAAATTTGAAATTCTTGTTGAACTCGTGCATGATAGAATCAAATGGCGAACATCAGATGATGAGAATCGTGATAAAATACAAAAAAAATAATGCTAAACTTGGCTTGCGATTGCAAGCTTAATCTCATCTGAAACTCAAATAAAACACTCAGAATTTTTTGTAATCTCATCTCATATCACCAAAGTTTTGGGCTTGTCGATTCACAATCTCCGGTAGAACCTTGGCTTGCAAGCTTCCAAAAACGTGAAGAGAATTCTTTGTCATGTAAAAAATGGGAACAACTTATCAGTTATACTTACCAAACAATGCAAATCTGATATTATGCAATAAATAATATTTCAACTCCCCAAGAGAATATAAATAAATATATAGGAAATATAAAAGCAAGTGATTTTTCCTCTCTAATTTCATCTCGTGAGGATACATTATCTTCATCATCATCAAGAAGCACTCCACATTCCTCTTTGTTTATCCTCTCAACTTCATCCTCCATACTTTGCAAGGAAACATAATATTATAGATCCACACTATGTTACTTAGTATTTAATCTAAATTTTCTAGGAACAACAAAAACGTTGATTAAAATAAAGATGTTAATAACAGAAATTTCTTATGTTCTCGCTGATTAAGTACATCATCATGATAATGGTGCTTAACCGTCTTGAGAATGGCAATATGACCATCTCACCTTGGGCTTTGCAAGATGTATGCAGCTACATATCTGGTACACCTTCTCGCCATTATATTTTGGAATAACGTTCAAAGAAGAGGTTTCGGAATCAAACTTAAATTCTGCACATAAAAAAAAAAAATCAATGGAATCAAATCTCCAATAAACATGGAATGGACAAATTAAAGAAAAAAACATAGTGAATAAATTTCAGCACAAGTATGAAATCAATTAAACAACAGTGGAAATATCTATTATTTTTCACCCAATCCCTCATTCCATAGTGATTTCTTTGTTTTTTTTAATTTTTTTTTTTATTAACAATTGGATATCAACAGAATTACAGAAAACCCACAATAAAAAAATTATCATGCAAAAAAATAGACAGGCTGCAAAAGTGCAATACATTTATAGGCGCATTACCGCTTACCGAAAAACGAAAACAATTTCCTCTAATTATATGCTCTAACAGAGAGCAACAAAAGGATCCTCAAAAAACTCTTACAGGGTGCACAAATAACAACAACAACAATATATATATATATATTATATATATATATATGTATATATATATATATATATACACATATATATATACAAAAAATCAGCCAAGAAACCTGGTAGCTCAACAAAGTCATCGTGCTTAAAATCAATAAAAAACCAATAATTCAGTGCATAAATCAGAAGGGAAAAGAAGAAGAACTAAATACCTTGTTGCGTCCCTTGGCCTTTCAGTGGAGCAGGGATTTTTTTTCTTTTTCAAGCCATCAATCGATTTCGCGGGTTGTGGAAGAAAATGAGACAGAAACTTGTAGTTTTCAATTTTTAGATCGTGTCATTTTTATCGGAAGTGGTGTCGAGAAGTTGAAATCGATCGTGATCAGTTTTCAATTGTATGCGATTTATTATTTTATTTTCTTATCGTTGAATTGAAATTGTGGGCAATAAAATCTGCAAATAAAACTATTCAAATAACTGATGCATACAATTACCAAAAATATCCTTGGTTATCAAAATTTTATCAAAACTGCCATTAGGGTTTCGGGGAAAACCTTTCTTTTATATATAAAGATAATAGGATATGATTGATACAATATTTATATTATATCTTTTTTAATAAAACAATAATGTATAACTTTATCATAACAACTAGTATAATTAGGGGTGAAAGTCGGATGGATCGGATCGCAATTAGCATTTTCGGAAAATTTCCAAAAATTTCGGAAGTACAAAATCAATTCCAATTCCAATTCCAAAATTTTCGGAATCTAAAAATTCATTCCAATTCCAAACGGCCCGGAAATTTTGGAAAAAATTGGAAATCACATAAGCTTTAAAATTTTAAAACTTAGCCGAAATTTTCTAAAATGTTCATAATTTTTCAAAAATAACAGCATCCACGTCGATAAAAGTAAAACTAATAACTACTAAATTTCTGTTCAAAAAAATAAATAAAAATAAACACAGCATAATATCCAATAAAACTTCTAACAACAATTCATTATGTCAAAATCCTACAACAAAACATATAGGTGTATTTTTAGGAAAATAAGTATTATATAATATATACTATTTATAGGTGTATTTTTCGGAAAAAAATCGGAATTATTCGGTATTAATTTCGGAACTAAATCGGATCGGAAATCGGAAATTCCAAATTTATTTTATATAATTCCAATTCCAATTCCAATCCGAAAAAAATCGGAAAATTTCGAAAATCGGAATTTCGGAAGTCGGAATGAAAAAAGTTGTTCCAAAATCGAAATTTTTCAAATCGAAACCGGCGGAAATTGGAAAATCCGTTCCAACTTGCACCCTTAAGTATAATCATGAAGTAGTCTCAAAGCACATATATAATTAAAATCCACCTGATATAAATAATTAGGTGTGTCATATACTTTTTCGAATATTCTATCAGCAAACGAGTTTGAACATAGAAATTTGATTTTATTATAATAAAACTCAACTGGAGAATAGGAAATACTAATGGGGCACAGTCAAATATATATTGAGGAAAAAGCCTGATTAATAATTCCAAACTGCAGAGAAGCTTAGCCCAAGTCAACTCTAACGTGAGATCAATTCTAAGTTGGAATTATAATTAAGTTGTATTAGTATATGGATATTTGTTTAGATATTTTCTTAAGTAGGATTTACTCTTTCTTTAATTTTATGCACGATGTGCTCTCGGGAAAGTATATGCTGCACTTGGTTTTCTATATTGAGTGAATTATAATCGTAGATTTACACATAAGCGCATACACCCATGTTTATGTGTGCTTAGTTGGGTAGTTATATAATCATATTTACTATTGAAATCCTCTCAATGTAAATAACCAGATGTAACATCTAACTCCCCAAAATATTCGAACATAATATCGAAAACCGAGTCAACCAAGCAAAATAAATCATTTGACCTATATATATATATATATATATATATATATAGAAATTATTTGACCTATATATATATATAAATAAGGTAGAACTCTTAAAAATAAATAATTACATAAGTAGCAATAAGGTAGAACTCTTCACGGGTTAGTTCTAATTTTGATATATAATTGTTAAAAATTATAATTAGAAATTAATAGAGAAAAAATATTAAAAATAAATAATTACAGAAATACCATTAAGGTTTTTTAGGGTTGCCCAGCGTTTCTTTCTTTTATATATAAGATTATAACTAAAGGAAACATTCATGTATATCCCAATATTACCCTCAACCATTTATACCCAATTCATAATTGTAACTCCAATTCATCAACTTTGTCAACAAAAATCCAATTTTGACTTTTTTTTGGAGCATAATTTAATATGCTTCAATTTCATCCTTAACTTAATTTAATCTCAATTTGACCCAAAATTTCACAAATTACTCAATTTTGACCCAAAACTTTTTTTTTTAATTTTTTTTTTCAAATTTTTTTTTTTGCCGCCGGATTCCGGCGTTGATTTTTTTTAGTGTTTTTTTAAGTTTTTTTTTTTGTTTGGTTTGTTTTGTTTTTCCACGTCCGCCGCTAAACGTTGACCGTAATTCTGCTGTCACTGACAGTAAATTAATGTTATTATACTGTCAATGATAGTTAATTAACGTAACTGTACTGCCGTTGACATTACATTTATGTAATTGTGCTGCCGTTGACAGTAAATTAATGCAATATTATTATTTTTTATTTTTTATTATTTTTTTTATTTTGTTTGATTTGTTGACAAGTCAACGTAATTATATTACTGTCGTTGACAGTAAAATAACTGTAAACACAATAATATTACTGTCAACAACATCAATATTATTATTATTTTGGGGGTTTTGTTTTGTTTGAGTTATTCACGGAGTAACGTATTAATATTACTGTCTATTATTGTAATATTACTGTAAACACAATAACATTACTGTGGTTGACGGTAATATTACTGTTGTTATAGTAATATTGCTGTCAACCACATCAATATTATTATTTTGTTTGGATTTTTTGTTTGTTTGAGTTATTCACAGAGTAACGTAATAATATTACTGTCTATTATTGTAATATTACTGTTGCTATAGTAATATTACTGTCACTCACAGTAATATTAATTCTTTTGGTTTTTTTTATTATATTTACATTTGTTGAACGGTCAACATAGTAATATTACTTTATTACACAATAATAATGAGTTTTGTTGTGTTAATATTAATGTGCTAAAGATTAATATAGCAATATTACTGTGTTAAACTATAGTTTAGTTAATTTTACTGTGTTTAACAGTAATATAGTTAATATTAGTATCAATCACAGCAATATTGCTGTTTAAACGGAAAAAAGAGTTACAGAAAAAAAAAGAAGAAGAAAGAAAAAAATAATTAAAAAAGTCAACGGCGGAATCAGGCGGGAAAAAAAGTTTTTTTTTTTTGAAAAAAAAGTTTTGGGTCAAAATTGAATAATTTGTGAAATTTGGGGTCAAATTAAAGTTAAATTAAGTTAGGGATAAAATTGGAGCATATTAAAGTATGAGTGGTTATTTTAGTCCTTTACAAAAATCTGGACCATGTGTGAACTTATTGGTAAAGAAATTTTTTATCTGGATCTCTTTATGAATAAGTACCCATTGATGGGCTTATTTGTAATATGCCCTATATAGAATCCGTAGATGAATAATCGTTATAACATCTTAACTTTCTCAAAGTCATTGAATAGTCATTATAAACTCTTACCTTTCTCAAAGTCAACTATAATATTTTTTTTTTTGATAACTATAAATTATCTCTAGTTCCTACATAACACCACCCCATTAAACACAACACACAAACACAAAAAGAATGGAGCAAGTAGTCCGGCCAATGTTATTGTTTTTCACGTGCATGATGACAATATCATATGCGCAAGGTATATATATATATATATGTTTCTATACATGTATGTATATATATAGACGTGTGTGACTCAATTCACATTCCTATCTTGATTAGCATATATATAACTTTTTTTTTTAAATCAAACAGATTTTCTGCAGAACCCGGATTTTCTGCAGAACCCGGATTTCGAAATCCCTCCATCCAACATAACGGCAAATTCAACTACATCCCAATTCATTCTCCTCACCGAAGCGAATTCCATTCCGGGATGGTCGTTCAACGGTACGGTCTCGTACGTCACTTCGGGGGCAAACTTGTCATTTCCAGGGAGCGGCGGGGCCCACGCTTTGCAGTTGGGCGAGAACGGCGCAATCAAACAGACATGATCAGTAGAGCAAATACAACAAATACAGCTAATACAAGTGAAATCTATGAATATGTTGTCAGTTTCAATCTTATCCCACAAAGCGAGGATTGTGCTAACAATCGTACGACTGTTAATGTAACTCTTCGCGAAAATCCGTTCCGCAATAGATCGATGGCGTTTTCTCTCGGAAGGAATTTGACTAGAAATTTGTGGGAGAGCCATGCTTTCTTCTTGGCTAAATTGGGAGTCAACGATTCTGTCGATATTCAAATCTCAAGTGTTAAAGCTAAAAATACAAAAGATGGTAACAATGTCACATGTTGGCCTGTGGTGGATGCATTTAATGTCAAAACGAATCCGTCGTGGAGGCGGTATATGGGTATGTTGTTATTATTTGAGATATTAATATTAAATGATATATTTCACTGACAAATTAAATTTTTGGTTGAGGTGGTCGTTCAACAGTTATATGCTATATTGCAAAATTCTCTCCTCTTACGTATCCCGATATATAAATTACTGTTTTTACGTCAACTTTTCGTATTCATAGTTAGTGCGTAACCATCGCAATTTGTGTTTTATGTCTAATATTGTGCAGACAACGCACTAGCAAATGGAAATTTTGAGGTTGGACCGGGTTTTATGAAGAACTCGTCAGAGGGAATTCTTCTAGACGAAGAACGAGATAGATGGTCTCCACTCCAAGAATGGGCTATATACGGAATTGTAAAATACATAGACTCAAAAAACTACAAAGTCCCTCAAGGCAATGCAGCTATCGAACTATTATCCGGGAATTCGGGGGTCCACAAGAACTTGTACATAGAACCGAAGTACACATACACTTTGAACTTCACAATGGGAGATGCAAACAATTCATGTGTAGGAAATTTTACGGTGTACGTGCAAGTAGGGAATAACACACACAACTTCATGATGACAAGCAACGGAACTGGATCGGCTTTCGAGCGCTCCTTAACATTCAAATCTCGATTTCCATCGTTAACAACTATTCCTATAGGCTTGTACAGTTTCAACGAGACAAGAACGGGTACCGGAGTGCTGTGTGGGCCCGTTATCGACAACGTAATTATTCGTCGAGACTCTGATGAAAGGAACTCTGATGGAAGGAAGATAGGTTCTCATGGGATTTTGATTTTAGCATGTTTACTGATTTGGGCATGCTTATAATATATGCAGAATGAAATGTATGCCCGCTGTAAAATAAATTTGGACAAATTCGACTTTACCTCTTCTACTCTAAGGTGGTGTTTGTAAACGCTTTTCCAAAGTGATTATAATTTTTTTTTGGTTCAAAATCAGTTTTCTTTTTAAACATTAAAAAACTCATAATCACTTTGAAAAAACGTTTGCAAACACCACATAACTATTGTATCAATCAAATCCTATTATTTAATCTAATGTTTTTTTTAATATATTTAATATATAACTGGAAATTGCAAAAAGGACCCTTTTTTCTTTTGATTCTCCAAAGGACCCCTTTTCAGAATACAAGAAAGGCATTTCCCATGGGCCTTTTTAGGAAGGCTTGAGTTGGGCTTAATTGGGCTTGCGCCAAAGATCAACTAAGTACATCAATTACGAAATGTTTGTCGTCGAAAAAGAAAATCCCCGATCGAGCAGCCGAATAAAAACCTTTTATTCTCGTCTCGACCCTATTTTATTTTCTTAATTGATATATATATATATATATATATATATATATATAATTTAGCACTGTGGGGTCCGATTAAAAAATATTATTTAAGCGACATAATAATTACTTGAGGACTCTAATATATATTCCAAAAAAAAAAAAAAAAAAAAAAAGAAAGAACAACACTTCAAATAAGAGGACTTCAGTATTAATATAACAAAGAACAAGATACAATTTCACTTGAAATCATTAAAGTATAGAAATAAAAACAACACCAACAATTTATAGAGATACAAATAACAAGGAGCAAAACTGAAATACAGTTTTGCCCTCACTTATGATGCTTGAACAAAATTATATATAATTATATATGTGGAATAACACATATAGTATTTTATTAATAATTATAGAAGATTAAAAATATTGGATAGGCTTATTGGAGACGCTTGCAAAGAGTGAGTCCATCTCCGATAGAGAGATGGGCTAACTCGATACGAGAATCGCTGGCCAAAAACGAGTTCAATTTGATGATGTGCCCTCTGCAACCCCTCAAGTAGTCTTGCATCTCGTCCTCGTCCGATGCCGCCACCGTACCGGACCAAAGGGTGTTGTCGTAGGCTATAATTCCTCCGACCTTAATTAATTTCAAGAGTTGCTCGTGGTAGTTTATGTAGTTCTCCTTGTCAGCATCCACGAACGCAAAATCGAATGTCCCTTCTTCCCCCTAAATACATCAATTTCATCGTAATAGTATTAAAAAAAACCCGATTTTAAATTATATTTTTTTTTTTCAAAAAGCGCGCTTACTGGATATATAATTTAGTTTTTTAAATTTTAAATTAAATACTTTTTTTGCATCACCAGCCAACCACAAATGGTGTGCAAATTTAATGATGAGTCATAATCATGATTTAAAGCTATACAACTTATGATTAATTAATCTTTGATTAAGTGCCTTTATTTACCTAATACAAATATAAAATTAAATAATATTATCTTGATTATTTAATTTAATTTAATACCTTAGCTTGGAGATCATTCATTACTTTGGTGGCATCAGATTGGATGAATTGAATTTTGTGAGTCATGTTTGCCTTCTGAATGAATGGCAATCCAGTCTCATATGCTTCCCTATCTGGATCAATAGCTATTATCTGAAAATATAAATAATTTAATTATGAAATTTTAATTGAACCCATTATCGAATTTTATTTAAATAAATTTTCCCAAAAAAAAATCGAATTTTTTTTATGTACCTTGCCATCATCGGGGAGAGCGAGAGCAGTCGAAAGAAGCGAGTAGCCGGTAAAAACTCCAACTTCTATCGTCTTTTTCGCGTTCATGATTTTCAAAAACATCGAAAGAAATTGGCCCTCGTCAGCTGGCACATTCATCAAGCTCCTGTTCATATTTAATTTTAATTTAAAATTTCCAATCAATTACAATATATTCGAGAAAAATGAAAAAATGTTATATATATCGAAATGATCGAATGTACCAAAATTGATATTTGTCGACGGTAGCATTCCTGAGTTCTTTGAGTTGTTCATGCTCTCTGGGATAGGCACTTGTTTCCAATATGTACTACATTAGAATCGAAGGGTACAAACATTATCGAAGATGAAAATTAATGACACGAGCAAATATATAATAAATCGATAATGATTTAATTAATTGTGTACTTTTTTTTAAGTGATTTAGGAAGAATCACAAATAATGAAGATATTCTCTTAGGTACTAGTTCTAAAGTTATTGTCAATAAGACTTATAATAGTAATTACATTATAAACCAATCATTTAAACAACTTATCGAATATTTGAAATATATATATGTATATATAAATATTCGAGATTTGTTTGACTAAATTACGAGAGTACCTTAGCGAGTTTATCGCTTTGCAAAATGGTGCCGAAGAATTTCTCTTTCATTGTTTTAGGGGAGAGAGAGAGAGAGGGAGGGAGGGAGGTAGGTGGTGTTGATTATTTTCTTTTGAGTTAGAAATTGTGAAAGAATTAAGTCAATTTATAGAGGACCATTTGGGGTTGCCACGCGTGAAAGCTTCAATGTGAAAAATGCAATGTCACACCCAACTAACCAAACCCCACATTCAATTAATTAATTAAATTAATTATTATTATTATTATTATTATTATTATTATTATTATTATTATTATTATTATTATTATTATTATTAACTGATTAAATTTTTAATTTTAAATATTTGGTGGAGATATGTTAGTTAATTAATCTATACGTGTCTGTGCTGAGTTGGATATTCTGGCTTTCAAGGTCTAAACTCTCAACATATTATGGGTTCTAAATTAGAAAATTTAATGTATGTTTATTTACAATATTGATCAACTTAATATTTTATATTTGGAACTAGAAGTCAAGAACAAATTTAACTCAACATTATTCATGGGCAGGTTAAAGAAAGCTTTTATACTTGAATT